AAAATTCCAGATTCGATTCCTAAACTAAAGTCGAAGGTCAAATTTGAACCTTATCAAAACGAGAATCATCAAAAGAGCAAGACAAGAACCGCAAATGAGAAAAGCAAATTATATACATAATAAGTTCATCAACACAAAACATGAGTTCAAAAAGCAAGAAAAATAAACCAAGTCATTACACGACAACAAGCCTAGACATGGTATTCTCGCTCGAGCTATCAGGGAGATCGTCTTCCTTCACTACCTGCCCACCTCGAACCTCTTTCTCCATATGCATAGCAGAGAGGTCGACCCCTGGTGCAAGCAACCTCGCCTGACGGGTCGCCTTGATGAAACCCCTCTTGTGCTCCACCAAAACAGCTCGCTCAGTCTCGACGAGCTTCCTCTCTAGGCCTGCATTCGTCGCGGCCATCTTATCAAGGTCAGCCTTCAAGGCACTGGCCTCCTCCTCCTTGCTGGCCAGAAGCACCTCATCACAGAGACGTCTCTCAACTGCCTCCGCCAGCTCAGCCCTTAACGCTGAGACCTCGTCCTCCAGAGAGCGCGCCCAGCCTCAAGCAGAATTGGTGACCTCATGCAGATTGCCCACTTGGGCAGCATAAACTTCATTAGCCTTCAGAGAAATCTCCAAAGACTTCTGAGTCCTCGCAAGATCCCTCCTCGTGGCTTGCAGCTCGGCCTCATTCTTCCTCTTAGCCTCGCTCAGAGCGGCCCCCAAGGATCGATTCTCCTCTTCTAGAGGCTGAACTCGGCTTCTAGCACTCTCGAGCTCCCCCTGCAGCTTCGACCACTTGTATTTCCAATGGTCCACAATGGTGATCGACCTCTGCAGAAGACCTCTGCAGAGTCTAGACCCTGAGTCTAGACCCTTCACTGGCCTGACCTTCTCAATCATCGCCTTGTCAGCTGAGCGGAGTGAACCTCTCGGGTAGAAGGTCTCGGCGGTCACCTTCGAACTCCACATCGAGTCCACATCCGATGACATGCTCACATGGTCCAACCTCACCAGGGGGCGACTAACATCGAAGCGCTGCGCGATGAATTTCCCCTTTGGAGCCCCTAGTGGAGGAGGAGGGGGCACAGCGGCCGCAGGAGTTGGCGTCGAAGTCCCGGAGCTCGACCGCTCTCCGCGGGCCTCGGCAGGAGTTGAAGTAGGAGCCGCCTGTGCAGTAGCTGAGGCATTCGGCCCTGGCGCCTTTGAGTTCAGCTCCACCTGAGCCTCGGCGTTAGTCGGCACAGGCCTCGCCTACACAAAACATGAAAAATTCCCTAAGTTACCAAAAAAGAAAATCACACAATATGGAAGAAAAACCATGAGAAGAAGAAAGGCACAAACCTGCGTCTCACGAGCGACCTCCTCCACGGCCACTCTAGACAACCCCTTAGGCGAAGGACTCCTAGTTAGGTCGACCGGGTCGGCATCGGCAGCCTTCGAGGTCACCTCTTCAGCGTCACGAGGAGCTGAGGTCTCCCCGACCTCTCTCCCCTCTTTCTTTTCCTACGAGTGTCAAGGGGAGGGACCTCCTCTTCACCGACCTCGGGAACCTCGAGCTCCTCCACGTTGTAGCGGGCTTTCAACTCGTGCCACTTGCTTCTCCCCATTATACCTACAAGCACAAAACCCAAACACATAAGCAGAAGGAAAAAAGACAAAGAATCTAACAACTAAGGGGATGAAATACTCACTCTCTAAACCCCTTTCCTTGTCCGCCAAGTCAGCAAGCGACAGGACGAGCTTGCAATCCTATGGACGAGAGAGCGCGACTAGATCGGTAATGGCAGCAGTATCTGACTCTGATAGCTGGAGACCGCTTGACCCATTGAATTTGATCGGATTCTGCTGCTAGAAAAGAGGGAACCTCGGCAACCCACCAAAGTGAAAAACCTCATCAACTAGCGGGTTGGCCTCCTTAGGCCGAACTCGGAAGAACTCCTGTTTGAAGCCATTATACGACTTGGAGTAAAGCGAGAACAATCCCCCAGCCTTACTCCCGTTCAAAGACACCCAGCCCAGGGGAGGGTCACCCAACTTAAGTTGGTAAAAATGGAGAAACACGGGCAGTGACAACCCTATCCCCTAGGCCGAGCACAAGATTTGAAAAGCCCTCAAAAAACCCCAACTATTGGGGTGCAGCTGGCAGGGAGCCGCGTTGATGAAATTCAAAAAGTCACACTCAAACTGTGTGAAGGGCAGACATACGCCTAAATCCCTAAAGAAACATTGATACATGTAGAAAAAAGGGGTATTTGGGGTACCCCCCATATACACACGCTCACTGGGTTGGCAAGGCTCAACCAGGATGAGCTTGGAAATGGAAGTTTGACATATCCTATGCAATTTCCACATTGCATTGACATCAAGAAACAATTTGAAGACACTGTGGAACTCTCCGACGTCCCCCCTGATGGAATAACACTAAGGCCAAGAAGTCCAAGAGGTGTGAAATTTGTTCCTAGTTGGGTTCCCCCTTTCCAATTAAAATACTTGGGACTAAGATCTTGCAAGTCGGGTCCAAGTTTTCCAAGTTGGCTCCAGACTCAACGCTCCTTAACATTTCTGGATATTTCTGATAACGCGATTAATGATTCGGTACCAAAATGGTTTTGGGGAAAATTGCAAAGCATGGAAACATTGAATATATCACATAACAATCTCACAGGTGAAATTCCAAATTTATCACTGAAGCTTCTTAATAGACCTTCAATATTTCTGGATTCAAATCAAATTGGGGGCAAAGTTCCATCGTTTATGTTACAAGCTTCAGAGCTGCTGCTTTCTAAAAATAAATTTTCAGATTTCTTTTCATTCTTATGTTACCAAAGCACAACTTCAAACTTAATGACTTTAGATTTATCAAGCAATCTAATAACGGGAGAACTCCCAAATTGTTGGAAATCAGTAGAGTCATTACTGATTCTCGATTTAAGCAACAATAAATTGTCAGGGAAGATTCCTATGTCCATGGGCACCCTTGTTAAATTGAAAGCGACTACAATCTTGCAAATTAAGATTTTGAAGTTTTGAGCCGAAGTTGAAACTACCTTGAAAGACTAATGATGTCATATTATTATAAGAAAGGTCAAGGATCACAAGAGAAGGAAAGCTTGGAAAGAAAGAAGATGAGAAAACAAAACAATGTTATTATCAGAAAGATAAAGCTCCCGAAGATTAAGGCTAATGTTTAACAACAGTTGAAATGATGAGGATGTCAGCATATTATAAGAAAGATCAAGGATGGCAAGAGAAGAGGAAAAGTTGGAACCTGAATAAAACAGAGATTGAAGATCAGTATCTAAAAGAGAACAATGAACCAGCCTCAACTCTCTTAAGTTTGGAAAAAGCTTGTTGATCATTTGTAACCAATGATGAGAGGAGCCAAGATTATGAATATAATCCAAGCGAAGAATTGTTAGGGAATAGAGATTAGAGAACCATTCAGCATCCTTAGATTTGACATCAAAATTTCCAGCAAGTCCAAGAGTGTGTAAGAAAGGAAGATTCCCAACCTGGAAAGGGAGTGCTCCAGAAAATGAATTTCCTGAAAGATCAAGATACCTCAACTGTGAGATATTTCCAAGTTGATAAGGGATTTCTCCATTGAGATCATTATTGCTTAGATCCAGATGCTGTAAATATGTTAGGTTTCCAAGCTGAGAAGGGAGTTCCCCATAGAGATAATAATTGTGACTTAGATCCAGATACTGTAAATGTGTTAGGTTTCCAAGTTGAGAAGGGAGTTCCCCACTGAGAAAATTGTTGCATAGATCCAGATACTGTAAATGCTCCCGCCAAACAGAGAGTATGAGAGATTGAGATATGTTAAGTTGGTGAAGGAGCCAATGAGTTCTTCTGCGATGTAACTCCGTCGAAAATAATTATTGCTGAGATCCAGATGTTGAATATTATGCAAGTCAATCAATGAAGTGAGATTAATTGAACCTTGCAAATATTGTGCACCTGCATACCAATAATCACCATGAATATCGAGTAACTGTATGTGACCAGTTTCATTGTGGCATTGTATGCCTCTCCATTTACAACAATCTGTATTGTTGTCGCCGTCCCTCCATGTAGACAAGATGCCATAATCATCAAAGAGACTTTGTTTGAAGTTGAGGAGTGCTTGTCTCTCACTCTCTATGCACTTTATTTCTGCACTAAGAATAGATCCTGCAGCATTCGATAAAAGCAGCACAAGTGAATAAAATAGTTTCACAAAACAACTACTCATTATTTTTTTGCTCATATGAAATCAATGGAAACAGTTTTATCTCTTAATTGTGAGGTATGAAAGATTGAGGCAATACAAGATATATATAGCGCAGATAGTATAGCTAAATCACAAAGCAATAGGAAGTTTCAAAACATTAGATTTCAAATTATACTTTTTTTTTTTTGTGCTTATTGTTACGAAAATTAAGATAAAACTAAAAACAGTAATATATAAGCAAAAGATTGAAAAGATAGATATAAGGGAGAGATTGAGAAGTGACTTCTTTCCTACAATGATATAGCTTTTTTCTTAATGTAAAGAAATAAAGACAAGAAAAGAAAATAAATAATCCATTTATAGACATAAATTACCTTTACAAATATTTTAATAGTAAAATAAAATATAAATACTACTAATAGACATTCAATGTTAAATACTCATAACAGTTATTGTACTAACATAAATTTATACTATTGTGATTTGATTTATTTTTACTAAATCGATTCTTAATAAACGATTGACTTGTGATGGAATTCCATCTCTCAATTGGATTCCTGATCTTCTTCGAAGAGTCTCTTAACAATCGTAACTCAGAAGTTTCAAAGCAATTAAAGCATTTAAAATAACAAAAGGTAAACAAAATGCATAAAACGACAAAAATTAGGCAAAAAAGAGAGAAAAAAAAAAAAAGACTAGACAAAGTTGCAAGGAAAGTTGATAAAAGGTGAAGGTTGTGTTAGGCTATTCGACAAGCCAGCGTAAAAAACCCCGTCGAATCTCTATGATATGGATCAACGATGTTATGTGGATATTGCTAGGTCGTTGCCCGGAAGCAACGCGCTGTATGGCTCGAGTACAGTGTCAAATGTGCAAGGGCCGCTGCATCGCCGCCCGGATGTAGTGTTAAATAGGCAAGGGTTCCCGCATACTAGTGAACGGGTGCGGGTAAAGAAGCTAGTTCACGAGACCAAGATTCGAATAGGAACATGGAACGTAGGCACACTTACCGGTAAGGCTATGGAAATAGTAGACACGATGATTAGGAGAAGGATCAACTTTATGTGCCTACAAGAAACCAAATGGATAGGGGAAAAGGCAAAGGAATTGTATTCTTCGGGTTTTAAGCTTTGGTACACCGGGAAGGTAAGAGCGAGGAATGGGGTTGGCATCATAGTGGACAAGGAGTGGAGGAAGGACGTGGTGGAGGTGAAGAGAGTCGGAGATAGGATCATAGCCCTTAAGCTAGTCGCACGGAAGGATACCACCAATGTCATTAGCGCGTATGCGCCTCAAATTGGGTCGGAGGAGCACCACAAGGTGCAATTTTGGGAGGATCTAGAAGGGGTTATCCAAGGAATACCTATGGGAGAGAAGATTTTCTTAGGGGGGGATCTTAACGGACATGTCGGGGGCGACTCTAGGGGATACGAAGGTTTCCATGGAGGACATGGCTTAGGAGTAGCAAATAGAGAAGGCAAAACCATCCTAGATTTCTCCTTGGCTTTTGATCTTACAATAGTCAATACGTGCTTTAAAAAGAGGGAAGAACACCTTATCACGTACAAGAGCGGGATGGTATGCTCTCAGATCGATTTCTTTCTTGTAAGGAAATCAGACAGGAAATTTTGCATGGATTGCAAAGTCATTCCTGGCGAGAGCCTGACTACCCAGCATCGAGTGTTGGTCATGGATGTTAGAGTTAAGAGTGGCGTGGAGAGCTAACTTTCGCAATATACTTTGTGTTTCTGATTCGTTGCTGGCAGTCAATTTGGTGTTGGGACCATTGGATGTGTTGCATAAGTATGCTCCTATCATTGCTCACATTAAGGAGTTACTGCAACAATCTTGGAGTGTTTGTGTTTGCCATTCTTTTCGAGAAGGAAACCAAAGTGCAGATTTTTTGTCGAAATTAGGGCCACATTGTGGTGTTGACCTAGTAGTTTTGGATACCATACCTGAGGGTTTACACCCGTTTGTGACGGCGGATGCAGCTGGAACAGTGTTCCGTAGGATGTAATCTTCATTTTTTTTTCTGTTTGTTTTCTTAGCTTTGGCTTACCAAAAAAAGACACTTCGTGCCTCTATTATTATTTATATTTATTTTATTAAATTATTTTTAGAAAAAAGGAGAAGCCGATTGGGAAGGATAATGAGTTGAGTTAATCCGGTCCGAGGGAATGTCGAGAAGGGGAGAAAAATTAACCCTCATTAATCTCATTTGGCATTTTCTAATAGAGTAAGAAAAACAGGAAGGAAAATACAAGAGCTCTGAAGAGGAGTACCCAGGAAGAGATCAGGAACGACTTCCACTAAATCAAGAGTATTCTGATTAATGCAACTAGATACAGGAAAAAAAGGATTTTTATGAAATGTGCCTGTTAGTTAAGGTTCATGAGGGATTGAAGTTTTGATAATCGATAGGTTGTTTTGTGAAATTGATGATTCAATCGGGTTTCATATTGATTTATAAATCTGGTTATGATATTATTTGGTAAAATTGATGATCTAGATGATGATTGGATTTATTGGATTGTGCTCTGTAAGTTAAGGTTCTTGTAGATTGATAAACACTCTTAATTATATGAATTAGCAATGGATTGTCATTGAAAGCCTTGAAATCTGCCAAAGGAAAAGAGGTGTGTGAAGAATCAAGCTCCGATGATTCCGAAACTGAGAACTTCAATTTGCTGGTGAAGAAGCTCAAAAAATTCATAAGAAGAAAGAAAAATTCCCCATACAAATTCAATAGAAAGACAAACAAGAAAGAGGAAGCAAGCACATCCTCCTTCAATTGCTTTGAATGTGGAAAACCAGGACATATGAAAGCTGAGTGTCCAAACCTCTTGAAGAAGCAACAAGAGGAGAAGAAAAGCAAGAGAAATGGAAAAGGGAAGAGAGCCTACATTGCTTGGGAGGATAATGACTCAAGCACAACAAGTGATGAATCTGAATGCGAGGAGAACAACTTTTGTTTGATGGCTGGAGCTGACCAAGACACAATTGTAAGTGAAGGTTCTTGTAGATTGATAAACACTCTTAATTATATGAATTGATGAGTAGTTGAGAGATTTTACTTATGGATGTACTTTAGTATTTTTGTAATATCTTTCTATCACGGAGCCAGGATTTCAATACTGGGGGGCCGAGAATTGGAATGATCAAATGAGGCGCTACATTTTTTTAAAAAAAAAAAAATTCCAAAGTGATACCACATAGCAGGCCGTACCAGAAGTCCAAAAGTTGAATAAAAAAATAAATTTGGGTTATTCATTTAATTATACATATGAGTTTATATTAAAAATAGGGGGTGCCATATAGTAATATATATGTATATAAAAAAAAATTAAAATTGTTGGGGGGGCCGTGGCACCCGTAGGTCCCCCCTTGGCTCCGTCCTTGGAGGAGAAAATAAGAGTGTTGAGGGGAAGGAGGAAGAAGAAGCGGGTCTTACATTGAGAAATCTCTTGCGTTAACAAAAACTAAAAAGTTTAGACCAAACCTATTGTGTGAAATTGCAATGAAGGAGAACCTGCCATGTATCTTCATTATCATGATTACAGACTAGACACTTGGCTTCCAAAGCAATACCCCTATGGAATTTGTTGGAATTTGTCATTAGAGGCTCTAGTTCTTTCAAGCCCCTTCCATCTTCAAATCACCTTAAATATAGGCTTACGATTTAGGCTTGAAACATGAGATGAAACCTTGAATGCATAACGAATTGAAAACACCCCATCTACAGCTGGACCCTAGAGGACAAAATCTATTCCTGTTGAATCTAATGGGATAGCCGAACTAATAATAGATTGTGACACCCTCTACCCCACATTCATAATTACACAATAAATAGGACTAATTAAAATCTTTCATAAATAAAACCAGAATCTCAAATATCTTACGTAGAGGATTTACATTCATAAACTCATAAACAATATCTCTAATGCGAAAATTACAAAGGAAGGAAATTGAGTTTTTCAAAACAATTCAATGGAAACAACACCTTAAACTAGTTCTAACTACATCCCGATGTCACATATCCTATCAAAGCTCGTCCAACTGAAGCCTAAGCTTCATCACCAACATCCTCATGTTGATGGCCATCTGCAACACAGTAGAAGACACACATAGAACAAATAAGGGAGTGAGCAACATCTCACTCAAGTTAAGGTGTAAAAATAATAGTTAGGCAACACACACATAAATCATAACAAAGCACAACACAAAACACACATTAATCAAGCATAACTCAAGTCATACATACATTAGTAACACATACACAGTCACTCATTATGCAATGATGTCATGGACTCAACTACAAATACATGCATGTGGCACCAGTCACATATCACTGGTGTGTTGCCTAAACAACACACCTAAGTTAGTCTAGGAGTACATGTAGGTAGTTACCCATACACTCTCAACTAGAAGGATATACTGTTAGGGTCTGGTCGAGATAGCGAAGCTACACAAATTACGTCTCGTGCTCACAAACGGGTGGAATCAAGACATCCAAATCGCAATATATCCTAGAACTCCCCCAAGCTGTTACACAAGGAGGGCCTTCCCTAACAGTGTACTCCACATCGTACCCGTCACATAGATGCACATGATGCATGTTACACATTCACACGTCATCAATTGGAAAGAGCAACTTGGAAAATTTGATGCAAAGGCTGATGAGGCAATCTTTCTAGGATACTCTACAAATAGTAAATCCTATAGAATCTATAACGAGAGAACCCTAGTTGTAGAAGAGTCTGTCCATGTGGTATTTGATGAGACCAACAAACAATAGACAAGGAAAACTAAAATTGAAGATTTAACTGATTTGCTTGATCAACCTCTATTGGAGAATGAACCAAATGAAAAGCCTAAGGAGAGTGAATCACATGAGAAAACAAAGGAAACATGTGAATAATTTCCCAAGGAATGGAAAACTTCTAGGGGCTTATCAATGGATAACATAATTGGAAATATTGGTAAGGGAGTCTCAACTAGAAGTGCCATAAAAAATATCTGCAACACTATGGCACCCGTGTCACAAGTTGAACCTAAGAGCATTGATGAAGCACTAAAAGATGATCATTGGTTAATGGCCATGCAAGAGGAACTAAATCAGTTTGAAAGGAATGAAGTATGGGATTTAGTGCCATTACCAAAAGATTATCCAATTATAGGAACCAAGTGGGTTTTTAGAAATAAGCTTGATGAATCTGGGATAATTATAAGAAATAAGGCAAGACTAGTGGCTAAGAGGTATAATCAAGAAGAGAGGATTGACTATGATGAGACTTTTTTCCCTGTAGCAAGGATAGAAGCCATTAGATTACTTCTTGCTTATTCCTCTATAATGAATTTCAAGCTTTATCAAATGGATGTAAAAAGTATTTTCCTCAATGGGTTGATACAAGAGGAAGTGCATGTTGAACAACCACCAGGCTTTGTGGATTTTAAGAATCCTAATCATGTGTACAAGCTCAAAAAGGCACTCTATGGCTTGAAGCAAGCCCCAAGATCATGGTATGACAGGTTAAGCAAATTTTTTATTGAAAATGACTATGTGAGAGGGAAGGTGGATAATACATTCTTTGTCAAGAAGTTTAAAAATGATACAATGTATGTACAAATCTATGTGGATGATATTGTATTTGGATCTACTAATACCTCTCTATGCAAAGAATTTGCTAAAACCATGCAAAGAGAATTTGAAATGTCAATGATGGGGGAGCTTACATTCTTTTAGGGTTGCAAATCAAACAAATGAGTGATGGGATTTTCATAAGTCAAAGCGAGTATTGCAATAAACTTCTGAAAAAGTTTGGTATGGAAAGGTGTAAGGAGGCTACCACACCAATATCAAACAATTGCAATCTTGACTTAGATGAGAAAGGAATAGTTGTTGATAATTCAAAGTATAGAGGTATCATTGGATAACTCTTATATTTGACAGCTAGTACGCCTGATATAATGTTTGTTGTGTGCCTTTATGCAAGATTTCAAGCTAATCCAAAAGAATCTCGCATGAAAAGTGTGAAGAGAATTCTTAAATACTTGAACGGTACAACCAATGTAGGTTTGTGGTATCCAAAGGGAGTCTCACTAAGTCTGATAGGTTACTCAGATTCAGACTATGCTGGGTTTAGACTAGATAGAAAAAGTACAAGTGGAACTTGTCACCTACTAGGTAGTGCACTAGTCTCATGGCATAGCAAAAAGCAAGCTTGTGTTGCTTTAAGTGCAGCTGAGGCTGAGTATATAGCTGCTGGAAGTTGTTGTGCTCAAATTCTTTGGATGAAGCAACAATTAAGAGACTATGGAGCTGAGCTAAATAAAATACCTTTGAGATGTGACAACATAAGTGCAATAAATTTGACCAAAAACCCAATTTTGCACTCTAGGACAAAGCATATTGAGATTAGACATCATTTTTTAAGAGATCATGTTCAAAGAAATGATTGTGTTGTAGAGTTTATAGAGACTAGCAAGCAATTAGCTGACATTTTTACGAAACCTCTACCAAGGGAAATATTTAACCTATTGAGAATTGAGTTAGGGATAATCAATGAATCATGCTTAAATTGAGTGATTGGATGACTGAGTGGAATGAGTATGAGATATAGAAGCATAAAAGAGAGTAATCAAGGAGCAATAAGACTTGATGTAATTTGAAAGGTTAAAATTTTTGATAAGCAAAACTTCTCTGGAATAATCGATCATCTTAA